CCCGGGATGCGCATCATGTGGCAACAACGTCACGCCCTTAAGCGGAGGCTTGCTGACGTAGAAATCCCCTGGGGAATGAGAACCTTTTGTTCAGGCTTCACATACAGTCCTTGCCTTATCGGGCGGTCTTTTCGCAATTAGCTGTATTTTCGTCCCGTGTTTGGCAACTTTACACATTGTGCTCGGCGGTGCAGAATTTTTTTTATTAATCTTCAGTATACACTGAAATCACTGCGTATTGCAACTGGATCCTTAGCGAACCTGGCTAGCTCTAAATACATACATGCATGCAAAAATAATGTATGCGGTTTGATCCTGGCACTCATGCGTGTACCTCACAAATAAAAGGCATAATTCACAACATGTACAAATAATGCTTTTTTTCTGTTTGTATAAATGATTTACTTCTTTTAAATGTTGTGCTTAATTAATTCCAAAGTTTTGTACCTACATACTCTATTAGACGTTGACCATATGTGTTGCTATAGGGCGGAGTATTAAAATTATTTATAAGAACATTTCTTGTGGCTCTACCTGATTGATTGTACGAATATATACGATGGAAGTTGTATATAAATTTATAGAATATTATGCATCAGAATTACTGTCTTATAGTCCCTCAGCATTAGGAATGGCATTGTTCGTTGTTCCTGAAAAAATGGAGCTCAGTGAGCATTGAAACATGCATACTCTATTATTCTCAATGGTCGTTTTTGTAGCGTTATTACCGGTTGTAGAAATCTGAGGTATGTAAGACCCCAAGATACTACACAATATTGTAAGTACCAAAAATGCTGAAGTAGATTACCCTGAGCGCATTAGAATTAGAGTACTGTCTTGCTTTAAGTGAAGTGTAGACCGAATATTCCAGTTTTTTAAATACTGTTTCAATGTGCCGCTTCCAGCTGAAAGAAGCATCAAGAGTCACTTCTAGATATTTAACACATTCTACCTTTTGAATGGGCTTATTATTTATTTGTGTATGTTGTGTCTCTGTTGGAGTGGCCTGAAATGAGTAAGCAAACGTTATATATTTTGTTTTTTTGGTGGTTTAAAGATTGCGTATTGTTTAAAACCAGTTAATCTGTTTAAGGCCCCGACTGATCCCCCCTTCTAATATTTCCCAGGAGCTTCCGCTTGACAGCAATACTGCATCCTCTGCATACCTCACCATATTCAACTTGCCCATAGCTCGAGGTAAGTCATTTATGTATAGATTGAAAAGAATCGGTCTCAGCACAGATCCCAGTGACATTCCTGTCAACACCGTCACACTGGTAGAGTGCTCTTCCCCTATTTTGACTAGTTGTGAGCGTGACGAAAAACAACTCTTAACGAAATCCAAAGAAAAGCCAGGAAACCCATATCTTCCTAATCTGCTAATTTATATTTTATGATTAACGGTATCAAAGGCCTTTTTTTATATCTAAAAACTGCCAACTGCTATTTGATCCGTATTTAAGGCTGTGTTAATAAGTGGACTTATACTTCTACCGCTGTACTAGGTGATTTAGCTTTCTGAAATCCGTGCCGTTCTTCTGTGATAATTCTATTTCGGGTCAATAAAGCAACTATCCCGGTTGCTATTAATTTTTCAAAAGTGGTATTGATAATGCTTAATACTGAAATTGGTCGATAGTTGGATAGCTGGTTTACGTCCCCTTCTTTCATAATGCAACTACTTTCGCTATTTTCAGGAGTTCAGGAAAAGTGCCAGTATAAAACGCCTTGTTAAATATTCTTTCCAGGGGTTTACTAAGAATATCAATATTTTCCTTAATCATTTTCATGAATATACCATCGCTCCCTAGTGCTTTATCACCCGGCATTGTATTTTTCATTTGATATAATATCGTACTTGTTATATATATATATATAAACTTTAAGAATTTGTAATTGAAGTGGGGAGCGGATTCACTGTTGGTTCTGCAAGGGTACCTGCCAAGACAGTACTTACTGTGCAAAAGTGTTCATTAAATTTATTTGCTAGGTCGTATTGATTTAGACTGCCAGTAGCCGCAATTTTTTGTAGTCTTGGACTTTGTGCCGTAGGTTTAATGATATAACATTTAATGAACCATATCTTCCTTGGATCATTTACACATTTGGCTATCTCCCAACAATAGTGTTCAAAATGTTCTTCGCCATATGTGAGCTGTTACCATATTTCGGTATGTTTTACATTGGTTACTGTAATATACATTATTCTTGTCTTCTTTCATTTCTCCATAGAAATGGTTTTTTGTTTCATTTGTCTCCAATATATTATTAGTCATCTATGGGCAGATTGGTTGTGTGTAGTAACCCTTCCGTTCATTAGCTGTGGAGTGGATTATGCATTGACGGAGTCTTGTATGCAAGCATCTTTAGTTTTCATTTCCGTCTGTGGAATTCATATCCACAAACGTTAACGCCTGTATGCGGTTGCTAAGCTCTTTATAATTAACCTTTTTTATTGTGAAATTTTTATTTATTTTGTAATTAGAAACGACAGGTGCGCTCGTTAATAATACTATTGGTGAATGGCTTGTTAAGAAAACGTCTAGCACTCTGTATAACTAGTCCTCAACACCAAAGTTGCACAAAATATGATCAATAACCGAAGCAGTTTCGTTCCCCATCTAGTGGGATTATTTATTATGTTTATAAAATTAAATTATTCTAACAGGAGAAGATAATCGTTCTTTAATGCCGCAGATACATCTATATTGAAATCCCCCCAGATTATTACGCTACCCTCCCGCACCGTTAGCCCTACAATAATGTTTCAATTTTTTTTTAGAAAAGTATTAACCCATGATTCCGGGGCCCTGTATACCTCTACGATCATTATATTATTCGAGATTATTGCGAAAAGAATTTCGTAGTCAGCGCTATGTATACGCCTCGCAAGTGGGCTCATTTTCGTCTTCTGCACACGAGAAAGGAAGTAGCGGTGACGTCAGAACGCCGAGCCCTGATTGGCTGATCGCGACCCCCTATCTTAGCGTCGTCTGCTCCTTTGGAACGTCGTCTGCTCGCAACGGCGTCTGCGTCTGTCTTGCCTTTCCTGCGACTTTCGGAAGTGGAGCGAGCTCGGCTTCGCCTTTCAGAGAGCGCACTATGGCCTTAGCAGCCGCTGCGCCATTAAAACCCAAGATCAATCAAGCCTTTCAGAGAGGGCAGACGAAATAACCCGAGCGTTACGTTGTTTTTGTCTAACAACTAGCAGACGCGCATCAAGGAAGGAAGTCAAAGGACCCACTGGCGAGGTGTCCCGAGACGCCGAGGTTTGTTTGCTAAGAACCGAGAGGTGAGGGTGGTTTGTGTCCGCAAGTTCCCTCCCAAATACGTTTTCCCTCCTTTTGTGTGCGGCGAGACTCCTCACTCTTTAACGGCGTCGGCGGGTTGGCGCAGTTAACGTCGTCTGCTTTACGTCTGCTAGTCAAAGCGATGGCTGCTTTACCTTTCCTGCATCTGTCGGAGATTCACCGCTTTTTTACCGGCGAGAGTCACCGTTGCCTCAGAAAACAAGGAGATGACAAGAGGAAGAGATTGACCGCTTAATCTAAAATTGAAGTCAGCGATCAAAGTATAAGACGGGAACGGTTCACAAGGGTCGCGCAAGCACATTTCATTCAGCACGCCAGCCGGTCGCCGAGTCGGAGTGCCTGCTAGGCCTATCTGCCGAGTTCGCTTGGTCGTTTTCGGTGGTATCGCGGACGTTGGAGCTTTTCACGGGTGTTTGTGGATCCAGCGTTCTTGTTCGTCGTGGTCTATTTCAAGTCCTTTTTACTTTTTTCTTGCTGCTTGAAGTCGGGACGCGTGAGAAGTGCACGTAGAAAAATTAATGACCGTTGTTCGTCGCGACCGCGACGCTGTCGGCCATGCTGATTTGATCGTAAGAAGTGCGTAAGACAGCTTCGGAGTTGTCGTAGGTTTTCGTCGTAACCTGCGCAAAACTTACGAAAATTTCGTTTCGTGAATGCGAATTTGTTCTCGAGTTTTGTGTTTTTGGCGTAAGATCGTTTTGTGAACCTCCCCTCTGCACGTCGAAAGTCGCAGGAAAGGTAAGACAGACGCAGACGACGTTGCGAAGGAGCAGACGACGCTCAGATAGGGGATCGCGATCAGCCAATCAGGGCTCGGCGTTCTGACGTCACCGCTACCCCCTGCGCAAAAAGCAGACGAACTTGCCCTCCGCATATAACTGTATTCTTTACATTCCTTAAACGTTAGCCCTGCTTTGATTAGTAAAGCAGATCCTCCACCTCTTGTGGACGTTGGTCTCGGAAGAGAATTACAATTATAGCCAGGGAGATTAACATGCTCATGATCTTCGAGCCATGTCTCAGATAATGCTAAAACATCGTAATGAAATTTATGTTCTCTAAGCATTGCGCATAGTATGTCCATAGTTTTGTTTACACTTCTATATTACAATATAGCACATGAAACATTTATTTTTGTAAGCTTCATTAACCGATTTAATTGAAACCATGTATTGATCGGTTAATTTAAGACCGTGTTATTCTTCATTTATGCAATTAGGCCAAGGGCAGCCCCAGTGGCGATTTGGACCACACGAGAGTTTTCTGCCTTCTTCATAAGGGTTTTTCCCAGTATTACATACAAGAACTTCCAGTTACTCGCTTTCTTTTTTTCTGTTGCCTTTCCGAGTAATACCTTGTTTTCCGGACAAAAGTGTTCATTGACATAGATAGGACTTGAGTGCTCGAAGCCGGAATCGGAGGTATTCAGCCCTAGTCGTTTTGCTGCTGCCAGGGTCTTATCTCGCGTACTGTGGGTGGTGAAGCGCACTATCACATTATGTTGGTCCTTGTTTTTTGTTGGCACTCGGTGGATAACGTCAATATTCGACGGCGCTATCTGATTCCGATTTCGGTGATCACGGTGTCTAGATTCTCGTTCGGGGTGAGGGGAAGGACTTTAATCTCAATATTATTTTTGCGACTGTACAGTACTGCTTCAATTTTATAATGTTGCGTTTTATATCTTACAGCCGTTTGGCGCGCTCATTGTTTTATTTTTTAGTTCCAGATATTCGGTGTTTAACTGTTTCAGTACCTTTGTGTTGTTTTTCACCTTTGTTTTAAACTCGTCAAAGTTCTCATTCATGAATCCCATTGATTTGGACATTCCCTCCAGCTCATTTGACACTTTGTTGTTTATGGCGTCCATCTTCATTGAGAGATCCGCCAAAAGTTCGGCCCATTCCTTAACTGTCGTGGGTTGCTTGTCGGTCATTTCGACTTTTAACACCAGTAAACTATTCAGTGTTCAGCAGGGCGATCCAGGAAAAGTAAGAGGTTTCAAAGGTTTCCCAAACGCTCCTTATGATGTCTTGATTTTGAATAATTCTGTTATTCAAGAACAGTGTCAGACTGTCAACTTTCATGGTGTTATTTTAATAATATTATGACTCCAATTTTTCATTGTGTTTTTTACACACGCCATCGCAATTAGTTTGCAACATATAATAAGTAGCAAAGATTACAACTCGTGACGTCACAGCGAGGCAAATCCTGGTCGTGACGCCAAGAACGGAAGCCATAAGAATTAAGGCTCCACCCACACATTTCGGCGGTAATAATCTGTTGAAGAAAAAATAGCTTTCTTTTGATTATATCATATATGGATTGTTTAGGGACTAATAAATCAACCAATTGAGGTACAGTGTCATTCGTGCCCCTACAAAATTCAGCATTTTTTTTTTTTATTATTGAGTTTGCAAAACTGATCATAAACATGTCTATTGAGAAATCAAAGCTTGACTGTGATATTTGGGTATGAAATAATACAGTATGTTTGTTGAGTGTGAGGCCCTCTTTAAAGGGCCCATGAAACGATTTTTGGGTTGGGATAAATCATTTTAGATTGGGATTTTACTAATAGCACATCGTTCAGTGGACCAAAAGAAAAAAGGTAGAAAGTCAAAAGCCTGACTTTCAGTGCGAAAATTTGAAAACAGAGCGGACTATTTCGTACCTCCTCCCCTTCGCAACCTCTCTGCCTTTTCACTGTGATACATCCGCGGTCCCAAAAGCGCGTTATCGGGTCCAAACTGACGTCACACGCAACCTGACCTCACTTATTCCCTTCACCCCTAAGCTGACATTGTGGTGGAAGCTACGCGCTTGCCGGACCAATCAGCCGCCTCCCTTTCATCACCTGACTTCATTCTCTGCAGCCACATTTGCCACGCTCACGTGGCAAGTGTGGCTGGCCCAACGAGCACGTAGCTTCAACAGCACTGTCAGCTTCGGAATGAACGGGGTGGGGAAAGCAACTTTTGTCTGAATTTTGAGCGACGGGCTAATCTTCTAGGGGGAGAATGGATGTGTCCGGGATTACTGAAACGAGAGTGCGAGCAAGAGGGGACTCCCCCTTTTCGTCTTCTTTAACGTTTGGTGGAATGCGCGATTTATGAGTTGAGGAGGAAAGCGAAACAGGAAAAAGTTGGAAAAGCGTTTCATGACCCCTTTAAAGACACCATGAAATGATTTTTTAACTTCTTCCTCCTTTGCTTTAATCCTAAACTCAAAAGGGAAATGAGAAATCACGTGGTGGTAACGTGCTTGGGCGCTGGAGGTAATGCCTCCAATCTTCCACTGTGCTTTTTAAGCACGCCATGGAACTTATAATTTTGAAGTGATGATAAGTGCCGTCACGTCACTTATTGGCCCAGAACGCGAATTAAAATATTTGTTGACGGATTGATTGTCGACAAACGCATACGTCCGAGTTACGCAGTCCTCGTGTCCAATGCGTGAGCTGGGCTCGGCTAACGTGCTCTGGCAACGCGGACGGACGCATTCTGGTGAAAAGGAGGAGAGCTTTCGAAGGAAAGGAACGAAATAGTCCGCTATATTTTCAAACTTTCGTACCGAAAAGCAGGCTTTATGCTTTCTACACTCCTGCATTGGTTTTATTTCGACGCACTAAACGATATGCAATTAGTCAAATCCCAATTTATAACAGCTTCAAATTCATTTCATGGTCACTATAACTTTTCTGTGCAGTGCAATACATGCACCGTGGAAAATTTACTGGATCAAATACCCTTGGGTTTTGCCCAAATACCTCAGAATGATAAAGTAAACACCTGGACGAAACCTTATTTTTTGCTTCAAAGGAAAGTAATGATGCTTTCAATGTTGTTACTTTTCTTTATAGAACTATATATTTCTTTTTTGTATAAACCTTTTCTAGAAAGCAAACACACACAGCCTTGTAGAGCAATTCTACGGCGCAGGACTCTTCGTGTGTTGCTTCTATCGTTAGATCTCTGTGCGATCTAACGATAGAAGCTAATAGAAGAAATGCTCATGTTCTAAGTTGCTAACATAAAAGCCAAGACTTGAAAAGAACACAGGGCGATGTGTGAGAAACCGGTCGCTCCGGAACACCGCGTATTCGCGTCTCCAGCTCAATGCTCGCCCTCGCGCGGCGGAAACGGGAAGCGCTCTAGTGAGGGTCCCCCGATACTCCTGCTCAGCGGGCACGGCTGAACTGCTCGCGATCGTGGCTCGCCAAATGTCCGTTTCCGAATGCAAACAACACTCTTTCACTGTACGAACATAGTGCTGCAGCCGGTATAGGATTATACTTTATTAGAGAGTTTTAGTATCGCGTATGGAAGCAAGCACTGTGCGTTTGCGTTAGGGTGGCGTGCTCCACGTATCGCAAGCGCGTCGTTGCCGTGCTCCGATTCGAGCCCCCGATTTTGGGCTCCACGCACGCGCAGCGTCTAACACGCAAAGCTAACGCAAACACACAGCGCTTGCTCGTATATGCAGTACTAAAACTCACTACTGTTTCACCGGCTTCCAACGCCAACGAAACGTGCTGTGAGCAGGCTTGCAACAGGTAGGCGTTCCTTCGAACTGGAAAGGCTGAGATGGGCAAAACGACGGCGCGTAAATACGAAAGTAAATAAATGTTAGAAAAGATTAATAATTTAAAAAAAAAAATCGTTCTTTTTTTTTTTTTTTGGGGGGGGGGGGGGGGGGGTTAGTGGGGGAGAGGGAGGGGGAATGAGGTGTGGAAGGATATTGGTGGCGACTTTGGAAAATTTGCCGATTGTCAAAAGTCGCTACTTTGATAGAACCCTCAATTAATCTAATTTTACATGAATTTCTTACATTAGCTAGAATGTTCATTGATTTTAGACTATATTTATTTTATAACTTGGTACTTGAAAATGCTGCAATTGGCACCAGTGATGATAATTAGCACACATTAAATTGTCATACTTGTTCGCGCGTTTAAAATTAGATCATAACAACCAGTTAACTTAGAGCTTGAAAACTTGCGTATTAAAATATCTTAATTTTGATATTTAGATTATTATTAATACGAATCACGGCAATGTATGCCCCCAATTAACGCTACCATCACAAAAATCTGCCATTTAACCATTGTCTTTCCTGAAAGGTATCATTTTGTTTTCTTTTTAACATATGAAAAACTCTGACATCGTTATCAAGATAGACAAACACTGGATGCAACATAAACTCCTATGCGTCCCGCGTTGCTTTAAAAAACATGCACACTTCAGCTGCCTAGCTGACTCGGATTTCTTCTTTTAGTTTTTTCTACTGAGAACAGCGTTCTCACAAGCATTCATGCGTTTTGTGAACATATTGTATAAATTGGATTTATCGTCTTATTCTTGTGCTGGGCAAAATTTTAAAGCAATTAATCATCGAAATACCCCAAAACCAATTGAAAGGCCCGCAGTTCATTATTTCAGATGACAATTATCTGAGTGAGAAAAGGCAGCGAGAACGCACGAATATCAGCGGATTTTTTTTTACAAATAATAATATTCTGTGTTATCTCTAAGGCGTATGAAAGAGCCGGACTTTATGTCTTTAAAGAGACAAAAGTTTCGGCGAACAACTTCTTTAAATAAATAATTACGGTGTGAGACACATCTTGAGTTATGAAAGAATCTGATTAAAACATATACCGAGAAATTAAATCCAAGATAGAGGTTAGTTTCGGTTTCGCTCTAGAATTAAAACGTGCCTCCTGGCGTAAATATTAAGCTAAACACCGTTCTTGTTTTCAGGGTAAAGAGGTGGCCTGCGCGCATAACACCCTAGCTTCCTCGTATTACCAGAAATAATTTGTGTCGCTCAGTGAAGCCAGCACACTAGACAGGCTCAGGAGCGGCACGCATCTCCGACCCTCACTAAACCCGCCATTTTGGATAACGAGTGGCGCCACCTATAGCGAATTGGAGTCGCGAATATCGCATTGGTCGATTACGTTCGGGCGGAATCGATAGAGCCGCTAGGTATAACGTCCGACCAAGAATTGTTATGTGCTTTATTTTGGCACAAAAGTAGATTAATCCCCTGTTGCAGTACAAGACAAAATAATAATCATAAAAAAAAACTTTGATCAAACAGTCAGCTAAAACATAATTTTCGTATAAGTTCGTTAAAATATTACGCACTGGAGAAAATAAGCCACTTGCGTTAAGTCCCTATTTGGAACTATTTTTGTTCACGTTCCACCCATTGAGAAGCACCGTGAAAGCGCCGAAGTACTCACGTGATCTTGCCTTCTCCTTTCCTCCTTTCAAGCGCCAATTCGCGTTACTCAACGTACGAGTCTCCCTCAGTTGCAGATCTTCTACCTTGAACTGAAGAATGTCTCCCTTCGCTGTAATGGTCGGCCTGCTACCGTCTTGAGTTGTCAAGGCTCCTCCGAGCTTGTCAAAAGATTTCTCTAAAGCGCTTCCTGGGATTTTCTGAGTACTGCGAAGAGGTGCGTTGCATGCTTGCTAGATATTTACAACAGATACCGTTTCCCAGGAGAAACACAGGCTGCTTCCGAAACTTTAGTTGGACTGGAATACGTTCTGAGTACCGAATACTTGTTTCCAGGCGAGCTCAGTCAATAGATGGTGAGATGTTTAAGCCTGGTTCACAGATTTGCGTCTATGCGGAGAGCAAGTCGTTTGGTTCCTGCGCAGGGGTTGCAATGACGTCAGAGCGACGCCGAGCTCTCATTGGCTTTGATTGAAAGGATAGTGGGTAGACCGCAATCCTAGATGCCTTGAGGTCTACACACTATTTCTCTTTTCAGTCAGCCAATAAGAGCTCGGCGTTCTGATATTATCACAACCCCTGGGCAAGAAGCAGAGGAGCTTGCGTTCCGCATTGAATCCACAACAGCCATGCAGAACAACAGTGACGACTGAGACGCAATGGACAACCGTGGTTCATGAACTCTATACGAAGCAACTCCTTCCGTTGCTTATTATGTTGCCTGTGATGAACACTTGTCTTAGTAACTTTGTCGTTCCTGTTGTTTTGACCCCTCTCAACGAAAGCAACGCAACTGTCTGAATGAGGCATTCATTCCGGTGTTGTGGGTCCAAGTTCCACATTGGGAGCCAGTGTTGGATTATTCACGCTGCTATAACCACCACAGAAAATGACACAGCGCACATGTTAAGCATCACATGATCACTTATTATTTGTCATTGTCGTGCGCCGTTAAACCATACAACCTCCGCGCATACTTTGGTGACGGCTTTTTGTCAACAATGGAGCGTTTCTCGCATAACTGAGTAACTTGGCCCCCTCGCAAAAGGGAAAGCCGGAGACGATTAACACGCAAGCAATCTGATCGAACGTTTTGTACACGCAGGGTTCCCATGCCCTTTATTAAGCAGTGTTTGATATGGCGGAAGGCTTGTCACATCGCAAGCTGGATTTTTTATTTTTTTTTTATTTTAGGGTAAGAGTGTTATCCAACACCGGGGGTTAAAAGGATACTGAACCAAAATTGGGAGCTCACAAAACAATGCTGGAGCGATATGCGGGACGCTATATAGAAGTGGATGATTAAACACGCCAACGAGGCCGACGAGACATGCCACGTCACAATTCCCAATCCCCCCCCCCCCCCCCCCCCTCCTCTTCGCTTCGTCCGCTCGAGCTGGTGAACTGAAGCGAGGAGGAGAGAAGCGAGCCGCTCTTCTCATTCTCAGATATTCCAGGAAGATCGTGAAGTCATAGTCCTCGCTTGATCGCGCACTTTTTTTTTTTTTCTTAAAAAATACGGCCATTCATTTGAGATATCAATGTATGAGTGATGTTTTTGAGTTCATAGCACCTCGTTCAAAGCTTCTGTGGCCTTATTTGCTAAATCCAAATTTCGGTTCAGCATCCCTTACAATCCTTTATGATCCCTGTTGCACTTCCGGTAGCCTATAGCATGCATTTATTTCAATAAAAATATGTTGGTTTATCGATTGATTGATTGGTAATGCCGCCGTGATGTTCACCACTGCAGCGTGCGCTCTTGAACTGCTTGCCAGGTGGGACTGTTTTCACTGAAAAACTGAGCAAACCACTTGCGGAACTGAACAATCCCTCGGTCGATGGGCTGCAGTGGAGGGCGCTCAATTACCCCCTTTGTGTTCCATATTAGCATATCTCTTCGGAACTGAAAGAAAAAAACAACAACACTTATGTATTATTGACATTTAACCGAGCCTGAATACGCCAATAGCCAGCGAATATTTCTGATATTCACGAGAAAAAAAGAGAGCATACTACTGTTGGCTGATCCAAGTTCAACGGAAGGATTTATGCCTCGTTTCACCTAAAGACTGAACGCATCTAATACTACGACGATGGCAACAATGAGCGTCAAAAGCGCAATGTAATGGAATTTTGACGCTTATTGTGGCCTCGTCCGCCCCCCCCCCCCCCCCCCCCTGGCCCTTTCATCACAGGATGCCTGCACTTCTCCGTCATTATTAATTTGTCTTCTGCCTGTGAGATTAGCGTACACTTTTTAAGGCTGTGCAACCTTTTCACCTTTTATGAATGAAGCCGTCTGAGCCCTCGAGTCAGCCATTTGGTTCACAGCCCATTTCTTAATTAGTTGCATTGATTGGGTTAAAAAACATCTCTGCTCTGAGTAAGTGAACCATCAACACACATTGAATTTTTTTCTTTTCAAATGATACTGAAGATTTTAAGACCCATTCTCAGAATTACCCGCGTCCTTCTTTCCCCAGTGACCAATAAAAAAAAAAAAAAAAACATTGACAATTAAAAAAGAAGTTGTGCCTCGAATCCACGCTGTGAAGGTGGTTGAACAACGAAGCTGTCGTATCACCTCCAACGATTGACACTGCACTATCGACCATTTTTTATGGGAAACGCCACCAGGTGGTGTTTTACTTTTTGAGGTCCAAGAAAACTTCCGGTTTATAAAAAGAATGAACAAGGGCCATCTTAACACTGCTGTTTATAATATAGATGAAACGTTTAACCACAAATTCTTAATGTGCACGCAAAAAAAAAACAAAAAAAAAAAACACGCACACGAAAGAGTGCGAATCTGTGTAAATGTTTCGAGTGCTCTTGTAAACCAACTTGTCTCCTCCAAGATATAACATTGTACAGACAAAGGGCCCTTATTAAATCTCTCTGTTGCGCGTGTAGCATTTCTAGCACTGGTGACATCAGCAAGCACAGCAGGCTTGCAAAGACGGCGCGACCGGAAGTCGCAGCGAACGGGGCTGTATCAAATGATTGACGAATGGTGGGGGCACCGTGCCAAAACCTTTTATATATAAAAGGGTAGTGACGCCAGTCCCCACGTCACAAGCTGCCGTCACCGCCCCAACTTGCACAGCAATAATCTTTACCGCGAAACGTATGCGGTGAGCGCTACGTGCTTCGTATTGTTATCAGGAGAGCCTTAGCATCAATTATCTGGTTCGGAAGCTTATTTTGTTCTTGTTCTTTATAGAAACAAATGATCGGCTGTACGTTGTATGCGGGATATCCACTTTTCGCTTCAATCGTTGAAGGTTTTTTTTTTTGTTTTTTTTCCGTGACGACGACTACACGCCAAAATTCCAGAAATCCGACCTGTGAGTCATACACAGCTTCGCTCTAATATAACCACTCCGAGTACACACAGCAACTTTTTTTTATTCCTTTTTCTATTTACACTAAGAAAAATGCACGTGCTCTACATTCATGGACTCACACCAGCCTGCCCTGGAAGAAAAACTATGCTGAGACACTTCGTTTCTCGCAATGCCAAGATACTGTATCGAATATGGCTGTCAAAATTATTTTAATAACTTAAATAATGCCGAGGGTTTCATGTGTTTATTAAAAGTGATAATGTAGTGATTGCGGAGGCGAGCTGGTGGATGTTAACCATTTTGTTCTTAGCCCGAGACTGAGGCAGGAAAAGAGGAAAGTTTCGAAGTAGAAGAAAAATGAACAGTCGAAGACACGTCTCAAACACAGCTAAAGACAAGTTTATTTGGTCACCTTCTTATATACACTCCACAAACTTCACCACAGCACCTTCCCGATCTCGAAAGCCAAAAGATAACAAAGGTCTCACATCTTTCCACCACAATTGTCAAACGACCTTGACGTTTTCCACAAAGCAATGAACAATAGCTCCCCTCATCCGGAAGACACTTGTCTGAATCCTTCGCGTACACAGTACACTCTCTCCCTCTACTCCCCGACCCATAATCACAAAGCATCCCGGTAACAGAAGATATCAATCCACGTGATACACAAAGGAAGAAACCACTTACACCTTCACATTCAACAAGCACTTCACAAAACTTTCAAATCCGCAAGAATGATTTTGCGCTGCTGCTAAGCTGTAACGATACCTGACTAATGCAGTTGCCCATTGATTTCATTCTTATTGTTTCTTTTACAACCCTTTTGATGTCGTTTAACTCCCTGTGTATTACCTCTGTTTCAGACCAGTGGGGTATACAATTATTACATTCTTGAACATGTTTCGCTATTTCCGAATTGGCAACGTTGTTTTTGACATTCCTTTTGTGTTCAGTCAATCTGTCATTTATACACCTTGACGTCTGCCCCACATATTTAAAGCCACATTCCAGGGGGATTGCATATACCACTCCATTACCACACGGAATAGACTTTTCTCGATGCGTTTTTGCGCATTCCCTTACACTTTTGTGGGAGGGTGTGAGCTTGCTCAACTTATAATCCGAACTAAAAACCAGATCTACATTGAACTTCTTGGCACAAGCCTTTAAGTTGTGAGAAATTTTGTGATAAAATGGAATTACAATAGTTCTATTTTTTGGCCTTTGCTTTGGTTCTCCTGTACATTTGTTTGCGAATTTTACGGGTAACTGCTTCCTTACGATTTCATCCTCATAACCAGCACCGTTTAGCCTTCTCCACTGTCTTTCTACCGATTCGGCCAAGAAATGTGTACATGATCTTTCCATTGAATTTGTGATTAAAGACTTTACAGTACCCGCTTTCACTGTTTTTGAATGGCAATTTTTTTTTGACAGCAGCGGTTTTGCGTTTTCTTTTCCATATTCCCAACATAGCCCTTTTTCATTGTGAATCATAAGTTCTAAGAACTGCAGTCTACCATTCGTAGGTCGTTCGACCGTAAACTTCAGTTCCGGGGCTGCCGATCTGATCAATGCTTCCAGAGTGTCAGATAATCCCTCCCGAAAAGAACAGATCAAAATGTCATCGACATACCTTTTCACAAAACAGGACTCCGACGTCATCTCCTGCAATCTATCAGATACAATACAATCCAAAGAATTAAGGTAAATTTCCGCTAACGCCGGTGCGACACTCGACCCAATGCATACTCCCTCTTTCTGTAAATACTTTTTCCCTTCATTCTCTACTATCGTTTACTGCAAGTAATAATCAAGAATGGCAAGAAAACTGTCCACCGAAATGCCTGACCGCGATTGGAACCTTACCAAATTCATTTCAAGCACCCCTTTTACCCTTTCCATCAGCCGGCTCTTCTCTAATGAGTAATAAAGATCCTTGATGTACATTGACAACACATCTCCTTCCTTTCCATGATGATCATCGAGTATTGTGATCAACTCACTCGAATTTCTCAGTGACAAAGACTTATCTAGAATTGCATGTTTTAAACCTTTTAGAAGAAACACGGAGACTACCTTCTGCCAAGTCCCATTCTCATTGATCACTACTCTAAGTGGCATCTCCGGTTTATGATCCTTAAAGGGGCCCTCCAACAGTATTTCAGCGTCGACTTTTTTTTGCGGTTTCTACACGCTAGTGGTCCCGGAAACCCAGTGGACAACGAAAGAGTTCGAAAATATTAGCGCATCATATTTTAATTTGACAACTCGGAAACACCTCCTCCGATGGTGGCGCCGCGAGGTGCCGAATGCGCGCGCATAACGCCGCTCCCTTTCACTATACGTCACATTCTCTGGGTTTCGTGATTGGCGAGAGCCTTCCCAGGAATTTTGAAGCGAAATAAAGTATATCACACGTTAACCGTCATTATTTCTCTAACAAGTCATTTTTATAGAGCTAATAAAGTTGCAAAGTAAAGTTCAAAAAGGGCGCCTTGTCGCTCATGCGCGCCTCCCAGCGGCTTCCGCGACGTACCATCGCGAGCAGACGACAAGTGATCCGTGTAGTCAACGCGCATCGTATTTTCACTTGTGTGCCCCCGGTCCCGGTCAACTAAAAGCAGTAAGAGGAGCCAGGGGAACCCTTATTTTCTTTTAATGCTGTGACAGACTTTTCATTGTTCGAGTGAAGTGCGGCGACGGGATCCAGCTTTTGCCCAACGGGACCGCTCACCAGCTTGTAGCTCCTACTCGCCGAGGTGACTCCTGTGGCGCAGTTGCGGGAGTCTAGTCTTCCGCGGCAGTCGAAGCGGACTGAGGCAGAGACGCGTCGCGGCGCATGCGTGGAGTGTCCTCGTACGGCGCGACGCCCAGCTCCGCACTCAAAATCCGATAAGCCCGGTAAATTCATCAATGATGGCAACCCGATCCCAAAGCTACGATGGTTACAGCTAGGCCTAATGGCCGACGAGCCGACCGGGCCGGCGCTTTGCTCCAATCGCCCGGGCCGATGCTTTGCTCCCATTGGCCAACCGCTTTGCTCCAATCGCTAAACTGTTTCATTTTACGTCATGAAGCGCAATGTTTTGCTTATTTAAAGCTGTTTTCTGCAATATTTAGTTCTCTAATAACTCACAAAATATTGCGAATTTCTGTAATATTTTTTTTCCTCGGTGATCCTGCTTTCTTGGAGCTCCGTTTCAGCGTCAACTTCAAACCGGTCAAAAAAGTGTTGGTGGGCCCCTTTAAGGAAGAATTTCACGCTCAACGGTGAGTTCGACAAATTTAACATAGTCTTTGCTACATCTTCAAATTCGTCTTCCTCTAAAATGGAAACTATATTTTTCTTTAACTTTCCGATGTTTCCACTCCATTCATGAAACAAGGATTCCATCGCGTCGCCTGTTTTCGTTTGAAATGACGATTTTGAAATAACCGCGAACCTACCGGATTTATCCGTTTGTAGCAATTGTAATGAACGATCCTCTAACTCCTTTCTAACCGAGTTGACGACACGAAAATTCCTTTTCTCATTTGGGTATTCATTCCCCATTACGTTTTCCATTCTGCCAACAGCCTGTTCAATAAACGCCGCTTTTCCTTCATGCCTGACTCCTCTCGCAACCGACTGTATGGATGAAAATACATCCACCCTTGACGGTTTTACATCATTACAAAACTTCGGCCCCTTTTCCAAGACTTCTTGCGTCTTCCCTGACAACATTACGCCACCCGCGGGTTGATAACAGAAGATCCACACATCCGATCGAAAAAACTGTAAAACCGTGACTCTCTAGCCCTTCCCTCCTGAGATCTCATATTAATACTATCCAGAACATGCTTTCGTTTGTACCACATTCAGTCGAAAATTGTCCTCCTGATGCTGTTCCAAAGGATGTAGTCTCTGTGCCGCTTGAAATCACCTCCCACCAGGAGCTCCCAAAGTCTTTCGGAAGCGCTGCGTATTTCTTTGATCCGGTGACTTGAGGCTTCTCTGTGCGCCTTGAGGATCCTCTTCTTTCCGCTCCAATGGCTCCCCGATGCCGACAGGTGTTTGAATGCAGAAGGGTCCACGAATCTTTTTCGAAGGCAGATGCCGAAATATGCGACCTCGGCCTCCAGCTCCGACAGTCGACGTCCCAGCCGGTCCAGTACTGCTACTGCTTGACAAATCCAGGCGGTCGGTGTCGTTGATGATGTGGTTGCACATGAGAAGGGGATCAAGCCTGCTTCAGGTATAATCAATGATAATGTAGTGATTGCGCAGGCGAGCTGGTGGATGTTGTAAAAGAAAAGGTTGTAAAAGGGTTGTTAAAGGGTTGTAAAAGAAACAATAAGAATGAAATCAATGGGCAACTGCATTAGTCAGGTATCGTTACAGCTTAGCAGCAGCGCAAAATCATTCTTGCGGATTTGAAAGTTTTGTGAAGTGCTTGTTGAATGTGAAGGTGTAAGTGGTTTCTTCCTTTGTGTATCACGTGGATTGATATCTTCTGTTACCGGGATGCTTTGTGATTATGGGTCGGAGAGTAGAGGGAGAGAGTGTACTGTGTACGCGAAGGATTCAGACAAGTATCTTCCGGATGAGGGGAGCTATTGTTCATTGCTTTGTGGGAAACGTCAAGGTCGTTTGACAATTGTGGTGGAAAGATGTGAGACCTTTGTTATCTTTTGGCTTTCGAGATCGGGAAGGTGCTGTGGTGAAGTTTGTGGAGTGTATATAAGAAGGTGACGAAATAAACTTGTCTTTAGCTGTGTTTGAGACGTGTCTTCGACTGTTCATTTTTCTTCTACTTCGAAACTTTCCTCTTTTCCTGCCTCAGTCTCGGGCTAAGAACAAAATGGTTATTAAAAGTGTTCCGACAAGTGGGAAGTTTTGGATAGTTGTCGAGAGGAGAAATTAACCACACGGCTCACAGTGACTCAGCGCTCGGCTGACATAGCCGAACGCTGCGTCTACGTTCTGCTCGGGCTTGTTTTCAACCTCTGAAGCTTCGATTGATCGCAAGTCCTAGTAGAACGCGGAAGTATTACACGGGGTCGATTTGCACCTGGTAAGCCCGATCTCACCAGCATGTTTGATACGCCACCGCTGTTGCAATGCGCCCAGTGGACTTCCGTTTTTTCGCACGAGCGTCAACCTCCCTAGAGCTCTGCGCGTGCAGAGCTCTAGACAGCATGCGAGCCGTCTTGTGCACTATATATTCCGTTTCACCTGATGTTTCACCGCAGCGAAGGCTACAAGCGCGAGCTCATAGAGTGGGCGGCTGCTCTTAGTACACGAGGGCTTGTGCGCCTAGATGTGCCACAGACCAAGGCGTTTGCGCGTGTAGCCTTTCCTGTGGTACTTCATAAGGTGAAATAGAGTACATACTCCGTTCAACCCTAAAGTTGTGTTCACACGGGGGAGAAATCCCGGGAATTTCTCCCCGGCGCGCGCGCATCACGAGACGAAAACGCGAGGCTTTTGCACATTGCAAAGTCTGACGTTTTCGTTGCGGGATGCGCGTGCCATGAAAAAATCCCTGGGATTTCTCCCTCGCGTGAATACCCCTTAAGGGGTATCCACACGAAGGAGAACTCCGCGGACGGATGTCGTGACGTCAACAATCCGGGAAACTCCGTCCTCGGCTCCGCTGGCCACCTGCGGAGTTTTCGTGCTTAAAGAACGAAGCCTCCGCGCCTCAGCCACGGAGAAAAACGGCGCCGCGAGACCTCGTAAAGAGATAACATATGTTTCACGTGTTGCGCGCTCCACAGAGGAAAGGGGTGAATTTCTCCTTCGCGTGGATACGGCATAAGCTGAGACTAAGTTGGGAGCTACATGCCCGCATGACGAATCAGCCGCTTCCCTCTTATCACCGCGCCCGTCTCTCTGCGCGTGGCTATGGGCCGGAGCGTGATGACGGGCCGAAGAATGATGACGGAACGGAGCGTGATGACGTGGCGTACGACTCGTACAAAAAAGGGTGTAGCTTCCATCGCAGTCTCAGTTTCGGGGAGAACGGCGTATGCCATCTGCGTCCTGTGAAGTTATGGCGGCGTCGCGCATGCGCCGAACGCTTAGTGAGATCGATATATTGAGGAACATGCTGCAGAAAATTTAGTCCACATGCCTTGTGTCGAATAAACACCGCGCTCCGTGACAACAAAAGCTGGACAAAATGCCCGCATAGTCTGTTCTCTCTGTTAATAGTAGCGCATGAAATAACACGTATTGTCTTCGTCTTCGTCATTGCAGAATCTAGCATTCACAGACGAAGCACGTTCCACCGTGATGAGTGTTTATTACACATTGTAGGAGCCCATCATTTGAGAAAGGCGCCCGAACATATCTAACTTGATATAGCTACCTTTCGCAGGTTATATATATTTTTTGAGGCAAAGGACCTTTTTTAAAAAAATGCCCTTAGCTAAAATTGGCTATCCCTATTTCTTTGCCACGAAATGTCTGACTAAATTCGTTTTCTCGGCAATCGCTGATGCGGCGTTCGTTGTCGATTCGGGATGAGCTGAATTCGCGCCAAACGTTCACACGGCCCTCGCATCCAAGACATGCCCGAGTGTGTGGCCGAACAATGGCTGAGCGTGAGAAATAGCGCAGAAGAAGCTACATGGGGCGCGCATATTTGAAAGGGGCTAATATAAAAAAGTGGATTGCTCCTACCTGTGACTGCTGAGCATTGCTGAGGATCCAGCGGAATAACCATGGCGCGTTTGGTTCGAAGTGCAACCTTTGAATGACCCGCACTTGTAGGGGTTCTTCCGGAAGCATCGCAATCACCGCCAACGCACTCGCGAACTTGCACTGCACACGCTCCAACATCAACGCCGGTCCAATCGCTTGGTTGGTCACCAGAGCGTGAAGAAAAGGCCGTCGCTTGCCCAAGATCGATGCATCGGCGTCGATTTCGGAGAAACAGACATGACCCTCGATCCTGTTCTTGACGGTCCAGTGGTTCATCATGAAGCGCGCCCAGAAGCTCTCCGCACCGCTCTGCAAGAATTCCACGGGAGAAAGAAAGGCGTTGGCCGTGTGCAGGTGCTTCGCGTGAGCCACGTCGAAGGCGTTCTCGATGAGGTCCCGAATGTGGCAGCTGATTCGGTCGTCGAAGCGGGAGTAGAGCTTCCAGTCGCCGCCGGTGATCTCGGGACAGTCCTCGATGCGCCACGAAGGCGCCTCCCCTTCGGCATGGTGCCATATGAACACGAATCCAAGGAGCTCGTGGACTTCCCACTGCTTCAGGCGCACAAACTCTGGTACTGTAAGTCGACGAAAAATGCTTTTAGCTGCATTGTTTTGTTTTTTTTTGCTTTTTGTTTGCGTGTGTGTGCGCGCGCTCTTAAAAAATTGCAGGGAGCGAAAAAAGAAATCTGTATGCTGAGCGGAAGTGATTCTTGCGCAGGGGTTGTAGTGATATCAGAACGCCGAACTCTGCTTGGCTCTGATTGTAAGGATAGTGGGTGCACCTCAATGCTAGCTTCCTTGAGGTCCACCCGGTATCCTTTCAATCGGAGCCCATCAGAGCTCGGCGTTCTGACGTCATAGCAACCCCTGCGCAAAAAAGCAGACGAACTTGCCCTCCGCATAGCCATTGCTGCTTAAAGGGCCCATAAAACGTATTTTAGGCTGGAATAAATAAATTTATATTGGAATTTTACTAATAGCACATCGTTCAGTAGGCCAAACGAAAAAAGCTAGAAAGTCAGAAGCCTGACTTTCGGTACGAGAATTTTGAAAACACAGCGGACTATTTCGTACCTCCCTCCCTTCGTTAGCTCTCTGCCTTTTCACTGGGATATATCCGCGGTCCCCGCAGCGCGTCACGGGGCCTCCGCAGCCCGTCACCTGGCCCAAACGCACGTCACACGACACCGGACCTCACTTATTTCCTTCACCCTTAAGCTGGCATTGTGGTGGAAGCTCCGCGCTTGACGGACCAATCAGCCACCTCCCTTTCATCACCTGACCTCATTCTCACGGCGCGGGTATGCGCGAGAGAGCGTGATCACGTGGCAAAAGTGTGGCTGGCACAACAAACACGTAGCTTCCATAGCACTGTCAGCTTCGGGGTGAACGGGGTGGGGAAAGCAACTTTCGTCTGAATTTTAAGCGACGGGCTAATCTTTTATGGGGAAAATGGCTGTGCCCGGATACACAAAGAGAGTCCGAGCAAGAGGGGACTCCCCCCTTTCCGTCTTCTTGAACTGCTTGGTAAATGCGCGATTTATGAGTTGATGAGGAAAGCTAAACAAAAAAAAGTTGGAAAACCGTTTCATGACTCCTTTAAAGAGTTACTTCAACGGAATTTGAATTATACCCGTCGTGTTCAAGAATAGGTTGGATATGATCCAGAATATCAGTAAATGGCAATCGAATGTTTGTATTTTGAGCACGGTGGCTGAATTTTTCGTTATAATAGGCCCACTCTGGCAAACGCTCGGAGAACAGCCAGCGGAGAGCATGTAACAGCCGACGCAATCGTGACGTAGATCGTCTCGGACGAGCAAAGCTGCGACGAGGCTGACGTCGAGAGGATGGCCTAGTCGTTCCAGCCACCGAAGCGGCTGCTTTGGTACGAATTTTGGGTGACGGGTTAATCTTTTATAACCTTGTAGGGAGACAATAGCGACTTCTGGGACACACAAAATGGATTCTCGGGAAGAGGGGAGTTCCTCCTTCCCCTTTTTTTCTCGTCGTGGCCGGAGGCGAGGCAGTTACCGTCACTAGCCGTCAAGTTTCCTAGACGGGCATTACAAACGAGGTGTTAGCGACATCCACCAGGTGCTCTTTGGTAATCATTTAATTCTTTTTAGAATTCCTTTCGTGACTTTTTTAACAAGATATTGGTGTGTTCGATGTGATACTGCTCATTTGAACAAATATAGAGCCAAAAAAAGAGAGCCGAAATTTCGTTGTTGTATCCCTTTAAGAGACTCCAGGAAAGGAATAACATATATCTTTTTTAATAAAGTCAAATCTTGCAGTGTTTTATTGACTCTCAATGGATCATTGTTGTAAAAAGACACTATAGCGCACTGGTGCATACACGCCAGTGCTCAATGCGTATACGAACCTATTTTTTCCACTCTGCTGTAGTACAGCGTCCGCTACCCTTGCGTAAGTTCTGCACTGTGTAGCGGGAAGTGCAGGCTCAAGCCTGTAAATCGGGGCGTCCTACATTGGACGTGTCCTCATTCAACTAGCGCACTTTTTGAAATAACGTAAACGTGCACACTTATTTATTTATAACTGCACAGTGTACAAATGGCAATGCTAACACATCAACGCAATTGGCTAAAATCAAATGTAATTGGGGATATTTTGGATTACATCCTGCAGCGCGGACCTCGATAAGGTAGAACGTTCCTGCCGTAATGGTGCATTTGCAATGTGAGCTGAAGTGTCCAAACTATTTATTTTAATTAGAACAGGAAAGGTGGCAACTAAGCGAGCATTCTATCTTCAAAATGGTTTGATATTTTCTAACTCGGAAGTAAAATTTGCTGGAGTTCTATGTTTGGAACGGGTCTACACGCAATCCGAAAGGAAATTCAATGAAGCTGTCTCTGTATCCCGAAACTTGTTTTTCACGAGGTACGTATCTATATTGGTGTCACCTGTCCATATAAATAACATTTTAGTTAAACATATAAAAGAGCGAAAAAAAGACAAGGACAAGAAGTAATCGGGACAAGCGCCAACTTACACATTAGTTTTACTTAGAAAAGGCAAAGCATTTATACACACCACGCGCGAAGCAGCAACACATAAAAGTAAGGGTGTCTGAATAGTGGTTCGAATCGAATAGATTAGCGTCATCTCTAGCTTCTGCATTGTTGAAAGAACCGGCTGTCTTGGCTTTCCTTTGCATTGTCAAAGCTATGAATTACGCAGCTCTATTCGATTCGAACCACTGCTCGCACAACCCTACATAAAATTCGTCAATTTAGTATCCGATCACTCAAAAACTGAAATTCATTCCCATGGAGCACAACTGACGTGTCGCTAACACCTGCCGTCCAACCTTTTTTTCCATAAAGAACGCCTCCAAAAGTCCACGAGTGACAGTCTCAAAAGGCTTCCTCAGAATCCTTATCTGCTGAAGTCGCGGAACACTGCCACACCTGTTGCAATGCACAGGCAAATGCGGGCCATATTTATCTTTTACTCTTGGTGCGTGCTCCCGTGCTCGGTCACTGATGCACCGCCGATGTAAACCTTACCACAACTCAGTGAGATTTTATATGCTTAACTGTGATGAACCAACAAGCCCAATAACGTACCCTTCTAAATAAAATTTTATTCTTACTAAAGAACAATCATACACGGGACTTTTTTTTTTTTTTGCATGATCTCACGTATGTATTTTAAAACAAAAAGGTTCGTTTTTTGCACAATACTTTGCAACACTTTTTTTTTTACGAAATCCCCAGCTTAGTTTAACTTTACTGTTACAGTTCAACTCCATTTTGAGTGAGAGCATTAATTTTTTTTGTATCTTTTAATCGTTATTTAAAAGAAGTACTCACGTTTAGTCGAGAAAGGCGCGTGAGTACAGGCACCGGTCTTTCCGCTGAACCTCCATCCGTGGAAAGGGCACTCGATGCAGTCTCCTACCACGCGGCCCACAGCCCCAAGATGGGCGCCCAGGTGCGGGCAGTAGGCGTCGGCCACGTGGGCAACGCCGTCCTTGGTCCGAAACGCCACCAGCTCCAAGCCTGGAATTGAAGGATACTCTTGAAAGCTCTTCTCCTCGGGTGTAAACAAAAATGATGTTGTTATACAAGTCATCGATGGACAAACTTATTTAAGAAAAAAAATGTATCGAAATAAAAATACAAAATAAGTCTACAAAATATATTCAATTACCAATTGAAGTACAGTTCTTAAGAATAATCTAGATACACGATGTAAATATATGGAGAATATTTAATCATCTTCGAATTCTTTCGCAAATACATTTTGTTCACATAGTTTGACATCTAGTAGCCTCAAATCCCGGGGGAGAAAAGACGTGCCCAAGTGAAGTGTGGAGGCTACAACACCAAGAATCAAGTGACCAAGATGGAACGTTGCATATCTAAAACAACATTTGTCATAAGATGGGCGCGGCTAAAACATCAGAAAAAAAGCAGTGTAATCAGCGTGTGTTTAATTCAAAGGCTAAGATAAAGCAGCGAAGCCATTTCAAACATGTTTTTAATACGAGGTCTTTAAAAACAATAAATGTTGATGTTGATTGTCCACAGTCCAAGCAGAAAATGGCATGCTCTTTGAATATTACTTTCATCGCGAAGAGTGACCAAAATGCAAAGAACAGTGCCAAGACGGTTTTTGAGCAGTATTTGGAATATTCAGTTTTTGGTATTTAAATGCTATTGACAAATAAAGTTTTTACCATGTAAATAAACACAAAATACAGCTACAAGTATTTAAATGCGTATTTTATGCAAATGTACTTGAAATACCTCAAATTACTGTAGCAGTTGTTTGTGTGTAGGCTCTGAAACTTTACTAAAAATAACGTATTCGACGAAAAAAATGAACATTTTTCTTCAATTAACTGCCAGCTCGGAAGGACAACAGAGATTGCAAGCAACAAAACTACTGTGCAAAATAACTACCTGATAATTGCACATTAACGTTCTAATCAGTGAAAATAAAGATGTGCGGGGGATTGTTAAAGCTACCACTCGTACAGCAGGCGAAAAACCGGTTATGCTAAAGCGTAAAGAATAAGAACACTCTTTACCTTTCTCTAAAACAAACTAAGTAGTTTCTTCGAGACCACAAAAGAGTTACTAACTACATGGAATGCTTCATGGACACGCGTTGCATAGAAGCCTGCGCAGTAGTAGACCATTATTTTCTTTTGCCATGAATATTTTTGCGACAACGTATTTTCGACTCATAGCCTATCAAAAGCTTACTTGCAGCTGGGCTGAAGGAACGAGCGCAAGAACTGCGCTCTCTAAACATGCACTTGAACCATTTATGTACAACGCTGCCATGCGGCAAATCTTAAAACACTAGATTTTTACCTCCGCCCCCCCCCCCCCCCCCCCCTCCCCGGTGAATAAGATAATGCATGATATTTCAAGCACCAGCTATACTTAAATAGCGCTGAGATTACTGGGGAGCGCCAGCGATGATACGACAGTTCAGAAAGTGCTCATAAGCCTGCGTAAATACAGCATCAGGATGAAGGAGACAACCGTCACATAACCGGACGCGCAGGGAAACTAAAGGCCCGTTCACACAATCTGGGACTCCTTGGGAGGGGGTTCCTTAAAACCTCTAAAAAGTAGTTTACAACGAGAGAACAGACCGGCACTCTGGCGAAGTATATTGCCGCGCACCAAGTAGGCAGCGCGGCCGTAGCCGAACGGTTATCGCGCTTGCCTCCCACGCGAAGGGCCAGGGTTCGATTCCTGGCCGCGACTATGCATTTTTGTTAACACTGTAATGTTAAGCTCTGGTGACATCGAGAACCGTCTAGCTGATTCGAGGTCAGAATGTTCTACGCGTCGAACTTTCCACGCCGATTATTCCAGAAGCCCACGCATGTACATAGGGGCTCCGCGTGGCGAGCCACATTCAGTTTCGCCCCAGCGTTCGACTCCGCTGCTACGCCGACTTCGACGCCCGCGACGCTCTGTTATTATCTTTTGTACCCTTTTATTTTTGGCACAAGTTCGCCACATTAAACGTTTATTTCTTCCTTTTTATTTCCTGTTTTTTTGGTCACCACCCGTGACAATATGCAGTGACCCTGGAACTGCATTTCACTAGAGTACAGAATTTTGCTCTATTTACGAGGCCAAATGTACGTACTACTAATGAGAAATGGTCGTTTATAACATTGTCAAAAGTTTTTCGGTCCAAGAAAAGAAGGATGGTGCGCGGAAGAAATAGAAAATATACGAGACAGCCAAAGATTCCACGGCTACCCGATATGCGGTGACAGTGTGTTGTCTCAACGCAAGAGGGTTCAAGAGGCTTCAAGGCACTCGATCCTAAGAAGTCGCAGACGTGTAAACGGGCCTTAGCTGTCAAAGGATTCGTAACTGAGACGACACCTCAAAGAGATGCTGAAAGATTAGAGCCTACTATGGCCGAATGAAGCCACAAATAAACGAAGTGATTACGCGTAACCAGACATGTACATGTACGTACGCGTTACTAGTGACGAGTTACTTTTACCATGTTACATTTTGCTGTAAAGAGTAGCGCATTTAGTTACTTTTTTTAGAAAGGGTACGAGTAACGTACTTAGTTACTTTTAAGGCCAAGTAACGAGTGACGGTAATTCGTTAGTCTTGAGGAGTAACGTGTACAACAACGTTGAAACAGCGTCGTTTTAATTAGAACCTGAACATGCGTCTCTTAAACGGAAATAAACGGCGCGCAAAAGAATAGACAAGGACGAAGGGAAGATGCGAACGACACAAGCGCTGGAAAACTGGAGACAAGTTCGGCTTCTGCACGACTACTTGAAAGTGTTTTGCTTGTGTGGTACGGCATTATCGTCGAGATTTCGGAGACGCAGAGAGGATCTTTAGCTGCTGGATCAGGTGACATAATTTTTGCGGCAATAAGTTCGAACCGCGTTACCGAAAAGAGCGCGGACAACGGTGCATAGTGGAGGTAGTTTGACAGTACATGGAGACGTTCAGCTTCCGGAGGATGTGACGAGAACTCTGGAAAAAGGACCCAAGTACAGCCTGGAACCGCACTTAAGGCCACATGAACTGCTGGCCTTGGTACGGAGGGTGTCGGAAAAGACTGATACGGAGGAAAGAGGAAGGTGTGTTTTGGGGGGGGGGGGGGTTGATTGTCACGAAGGGCACTCCAAAAAGGTCAACATCGCCTGTGGCGGGCACGCTGAGAAAAAAATGTGCCGTGTTTTCAGGAAAGCGTCCTTCGTTTACTCGAAGCAGAAAAAGAGGGGGATTTGTCGTTCTATCTCAGGACATGCTAATGAGTAAATCTAGAACAGCGGTTTGTAGGAACTTCAAGCCGTCGTCATTCGACCTAAAAAAATTCAAGAGCGCAGCACTGAAGTTGTGCGATACTCTTGAGTTGACCAAATTAGGAAAATACATAAAGAAGAGTAAGGAAGACCACCTAAAAGTTTTTTGAAAAACACATACGATGGCCTTACCCTTCCGGGCTACTGTAACGGAAAGGGAGGCGTGGCCAGGGTGTAAGATAGACAGGTGGGGAAACGAGAGCCAAATGAGCGACCGGATTGTCCCCCTCGGGTTTCTCTTTTTCTGTGGCGCCATCTATGTGGAGCACCGCGAACTCTCACTCCGGGTGGGCGACCGGTGGCGACCGGCTAAACTGACGGAGATGATTTCTCGTGGATTTTCAACGGAGGACTGTCGTGCTCTCGGTTTATTTTACGCACTCTCCCATAAAGTTCCATGCAAATCCGTATCCATTTTTTTTCCTCTCGCCGCAGCGCCATCTGTCGCTAATCGGGGGTACCTGCAAGCAGACGAGTACACAATCCGGTCACGGCGCTGCGGTAGGCTTCTATGGGCCGTTTCCCCACCTGTCTATCTTACACCCTGGGCGTGGCAGAAGCAGGTTAGCCAGTTTCTCCTGCTCGAGAGCTCCGGAACCCATTTCTAGTCAGAAATTCGCAGGCGGTTGTGGAATATCTTAGTGCAAGCGAACACGCAGATGTAGCGCCATTCTCTTTAGATGTGGAGGACCTTTTCAACACCGTGCATCACGAGGGGCTCTTTGTGGCGGTGCGTGAATGTATTGACGAAAACGGTGTCGCTCAGCTTGAAAATGAGAGTGGTGTAGGAGTCGATAGTTTTATAGAACTACTGAAGTTTCATTTGCAGTCGACATTAATCACGTGTGACGATGGTTACTATTTGTGGAAAAAAGGAATTTGCATTGGGCTCTTGTGTAGCTGCGGTACTTTGTGACATTCTCTTGGGTAAATGTGATCAGGCAATCAATGATAACTTAGACGAGGAGTGTGTTCACGAAGTGTTTAGCTACGTTGACGATTAGCTAGTGGTTACAAGAGGGTCTGAAGGTGCCTCTGAGGAAAGGGCTGTGAAAGCAGTGTTGGATGTTTTCACTCAGCATTCTGGGGGGCTAAGGTTTTCCCATGAACTACAGGATGGGGCACATCTTCAATTTTTAGACCTTAGACTAGATTTTAAAAAAAAAGTCACGTGTGTTGGCTTGACCAACCACGCTCTAAAAAGGGACTTCTCCCTTATGATTCCGCCAAATCTGAGCTCGTAAAAAAGAGCATTGCGTCCTCTTGCCTCCAGACCACCTTGAAAGAATCCTGCTACCATTCAATGTGAATAAGTTTTAGGATGCAAGTACAGCGGCTGACAGATGCTGGCTTCCCTGCGTCAGCTATTCTGGCAGTGGCGCAGATGTTGTTAAAAATGATTTAGGGAGGGTTAAGTCAGAAAAAAAATAAAGACAGACAACGAGGCCCCAGGTACTCCACTTACATGCATAAAATCTCACACAATTTGAAAAAAAAGGTAGCCCCCTGTGGTTTCGGCAGCTAGAATTGCGGAACTGCCTGGGGGCAAGAGCCCATGTGCCGTTATGCACAGGAACAAGTATGCTGTTTGTGTGGTTGGTGCTGTATACAAGATCCCACTAAGCTGCGGAAGAGTGTACATCGGCCAAACTGGCTGCTGTATTAATGACTGGGCATGGGAACATG